CGATCTCATCCCCAGGTGGCATGGGAGGGTCACCAAACACATCCCCAGGTGGCATAGAGGTCCCTGAGCACATCCCTGGGTGGCACAGGGGTCCCCGAGCACATCCCCGGGTGGCAAAGGAGTCCCCAAACACATCCCTGGGTGACACAGGGGTCCCCAAGCACATCCCCGGGTGGCACAGGGGTCCCCAAGCACATCCCTGGGTGACATGATGGGGGTCCCCAAGCACATCCCCGGGTGGCACAGGGGTCCCCAAGCACATCCCTGGGTGACATGATGGGGGTCCCCAAGCACATCCCCGGGTGGCACAGGGGTCCCCAAGCACATCCCTGGGTGACATGATGGGGGTCCCCAAGCACATCCCCGGGTGGCACAGGGGTCCCCAAGCACATCCCTGGGTGACATGATGGGGGTCCCCAAGCACATCCCCGGGTGGCACAGGGGTCCCTGAACACATCCCTGGGTGACATGAGGGTCCCCAGTCACATCCCCAGGCGACATGGGGGGGGTCTCCAAACACATCCCTGGGTGGCACAGGGGTCCCCGAGCACATCCCCAGGCGACATGGGGGGGGTCTCCAAACACATCCCTGGGTGGCACAGGGGTCCCCAAGCACATCCCCAGGCGAAATGGGGGGGGTCCCCAAACACATCCCTGGGTGGCACAGGGGTCCCCGAGCACATCCCCTGGTGACACGGTGGGTCCCCAGTCCCATCCCCGGGTGCAGCAGCTCCCCCGTGCCATCCCCGCCAGGGTGGGAACCCGCGCCCCCACCCCGTCTCTCCGCTCTGCCCGGTTGCAGGGTGCCGCCGGGACTGCGCCTGGCACCCGTGTCCCCGTCCCACGTCCCGCTGCTCAACACCACGTGGGGCTTCGGGGGCAACGCCCGCAGCCGGCGGTTCCTGCTGGGGCTGGTGCGGGCGCTGCCCAACGCCTGCCTGCTGGGACCCCGCGGGCGCCCCGTCTCCTGGAGCCTGCTGGACCCCCTGGGTTGCCTGAGCCACGGCTACACGCTGCCCGCCTGGCGCGGGCAGGGCCTGACCGGGGTGGTGCTGGGTGCCCTGGGCCGGGGGCTGCACGCCCGCGGCTTCCCCATCTACTGCAGGGTGCTGCCCAGCAACACCTCCTCGCAGCGGGCCGTCCGTG